CTCTCTCTCTCTCTCTCTCTCTCTCTCTCTCTCTCTCTCTCTCTCTCTNTCTCTCTCTCTCTCTCTCTCTCTCTCTCTCTCTCTCTCTCTCTCTCTCTCTCTCTCTCTCTCTCTCTCTCTCTCTCTGTCTCTCTCTCTCTGTCTGTGTGTGTGTGTGTGTGTGTTCAGCCACGCGTTCGTTCCCTCCACCGCCCCATCCTGTCCCTGGTCGCCATAGCCGACACGATGCTTGCGGTTTACCGACCGGTCTTCTCCCGCCGCGAACCTTCTGTCCACCCGAGAGAAGAACTTTGGTGATGCAGCACCTGCCTGTCAAATGTTAGCTAATATGTTGGCGATGGTGGCGATGGTGGCGATGGTGGCGACGAGGATGGTGGCTAAGGCGATGATGACGATGGCGATGGCGATGGCGATGGCGATGAGGACTAGGAGGACGAGGAGGACGACGACGACGGCGATGGCGGCCCCGAGCCCGTCAAGCCGGCCGCGAGCTCGCAGCGACGCAATCATCCGGGCCTAGTAGGCTAAATCTAAGCGTCATCGTTTGGCTGCCTCTCTGCTACTTGTCCGTATCCCCCCCGATCCCTTCTCCCAACCACTCACCACCAAGCGTCACAGAGCGCCAGCGCCGGCCAAAGGATGCACTTGCTCCGCGTGCGACCTTGTGTGTGGCCCTGTTGTATCTGTGAGACCTCGGGTATGGCCCCTGCTGTACCTGTTGCTACCTTATGTATGGCCCTGCTGTATCTGTACACCTCTTGCACACTCCAGGGGCATGGTCCCACCTACCAACTTACTGAAGGGTCTTTTTCGGAAGGGTTAATTTCAAAAGTAATAAAATATTGCTTTTTGCTTTTTCCAAGTTTGGCAGCAAAAAATGTTGTCCGGAAGTTTCCTTTGCAAAAATAGAGGTTTCGGCGCAAAAAAACGTGGCCCAGGCATCTCGGGCGGGCGGGCCACGTCCGCCGAGATGCCTCGGCCACGTTTGCTTGAGGGGAAGGAAAAAAAAGTTGAAAAAAAGAAAAACACGATGCATCCCTGAGTCCCTGAGTACCTGAGGCCAGAGGCCTAGGGGTCCTTCGCTGTGAAACTTGGCAAAACGCTATATTTTTGCTGGCAAACTATGGGAACCCGGTAAAGCTGCAAAGAAACCTCTATTTTTCCGAAGGAAACTTCGAACGGACAACATTTTTTGCTGCCAGACTTGGAAAAAGCAATATTTTTGCAATGAACCCAAGTTGTGGTTACGTTTGCGGCTCTCGCAGAACCCCGCAGGCCCAAAAGGGGCCTATACAAAAGTATATGATTGCTGGACAGCAGCTCTCATAGAGCACTGCAGGTGGATGGCCACCTTCCTTGGCACAAAAGCATCTTCTCTCGGAACTTCGAGCAGAATCGGAAGAAGCTATTGCCTCTGGGGTTTGGGATCTCGATCCCTTATCAAAACATTGGCGCCTAACAAAGGAATACAGATCTCCTTGTTATAGGAGACAAAGCTCGATGACGCTGTGACGACCAACCTCACGCCCAGCGCGACTTCCTGATCAGAGTGGAATAGGGGCCTGAAAGTGCGAAAAAGGGGTGTGCCAAGGATTTTAGGATAGAGGGGGTGGAGTTCCAGGTCAGAACTGAAATCTCCTGTGGCAAACTTTAGGGGCAATTATGCAAGATAGTAAGCGCGAACCGCGTCCGTTGTTTAGGCCTTGGGGGATGTCATCGCCATCCGCGCGAGTTTCGTTGCCGAGGCCAGACTCGGATTTGGTGAACCGGTGGAACGCTATGTGTGTGGCGTTGCCTAACCAATCGCCAGCGTCGCTCGTGATAAGCCTCCGAGTCGGACGAAGCCGGCCTCAGGTGCAGGCTGTGTGCTCGTTGTTCGGCCTCAGTCCGGGTTCATCGAACGAACCCCACGGCTCGGTACTCGCTATCCTGTTGGCACTCGAAGCACGGGGTTCGGGGCCAGTAGGGGGCGAGTGCGTGCCACGGGGCCGCCATCAGGCAGTGAAAAGGCAACATGAGGCGGTGGGGAGCGAAGTCTGTCTCAATGATGACGACACTGGGTTCGACGATGACGTGGCTTACGTGCGAACTGGGGAACTGGGAGGGAAAAGGGATCGCGCTTAGGGCCCGTTCAATATTCCACTCACAGACACGTTCGTTTCCCGTTCGAAAGGGGAACTTTGGAGGGTTGGGGCGGGGTTGTGCGAGAAGACAGGCGTTTTTCCACTCCCAGTATTCTCGGAACCATTGGTGTCTCAGGCTCTCCCGATCCGTGCGTGCAGGCGATGTTTGTTTTGATCGAGCCTGCACGTATGCGCACGAGACCATGCCTGCGATCAGTTGGATCGGATCGACCGATTATCCCTTTGGTCGGGAGATCGTTTGATCTTACGTCATGCTAGTCCGTGCGCGGGTCAGGAACAAACATTAGGGAGGCGATCCATTAGTAATCACACAATTGAATCAGCCATCCATTAACCCCCTCCCCCCCCAAAGCCTACACCAACCGTGTTCGTTAGAAAATTGACATACATACTTAGGTATTGATCGACCTCATACATCAATCAAACTCGAGGGCCGTGTGGATCTCCGAAAAAGCAGAGTAAGGGATCGACCAGGGGTTGCGCATCAGGCCACGTCACCGAGGAAGCTTACATCATTATAACCCAGCTCCCCGAGGCATCGCGCAGACAGTCGTCATGCCCGATCTCATCATACCACAATGAAACAAGGGTGAGGGAAAAAATCAAACCATTCACAAGAAGGACACAGACCAGGGGTAGTTATGAACGGAAAGAGGACCGACGCCACTAATGAGAACTACACAGGTGGGAGGAAGAAAAGAAGGACACCATTCCACAAGCATCATAAGCTACAAATCCAAAATGATTCGCAAGAAGACCGGAGTGGCCATAGCAAAATCGGCCAAAGTTGAAATCAAAATTTGCAGAGAGGGTTAGAGAAAGGCATCATCCCATACACATCTCTCTCTCTCTCTCTCTCTCTCTCTCTCTCTCTCTCTCTCTCTCTCTCTCTCTCTCTCTCTCTCTCTCTCTCTGTGCACTACATCACCTCCAATGCGGGCAGTCCGTCGCCTCGCACTAACACCGAGTCGTCACCCCGCTTAGTTCGAGTACGCAAGCCAAGTTCGCTCGTGCGTCACAGGCTGTCGTGGCCTGCACGTCAACCCCGCCTACCCGGCACCAGCTCGTCGGGTCGCCCGACTCACTTCTGCTCATCTTCTCACTTACTTGTTAGTCGATCCTCACTAACCGCGCTAACTTCCAAATTATGAGAGAGTCCTCACTGACCGCGCTAACTTCCAAATTATGAGAGAGTCCTCACTGACCGCGCTAACTTCCAAATTATGAGAGAGCAAACTGATTGCGCTTGTGAAATTTATAGCGTGCATGCTTGGCATTGTTTGCGCGATGAACTCGGGATTATGCCTAAGTGAGGGGAAGGGGAGGAGAAGGAAGTGCCTACGCCTGCATGGCCCAGCCGCGGTGTGGGACACGCAGTGACACTCCACGCATCGATCCGGTCATGCAGTCGCTCGGGCCAATTAAAGTGGACTCGGAGGACGAGGTATGCATGACAGAGGGGAAGAAGGCGGAAAAACATGAGAGAATCAAGAAGGAGTACAGTTACAATCCCGCCCACCAAAAATTACAGTTGCATGTAGGATTAAGGGCGCGATACAGTCAAAGCCCAGTTCCCACTGCGGTGAGAGGTGCACGAGCAAGAAGTGCGGCACAACAAAATTCCAGAGCACCTGAATTCCTAGTTTAAATCCTATTTGCAAAAAAAAATTATAAAAAGCTTAAAATAAACAATTAAATTTTCAAGAGCTCGTCATCCGTTGTAAATTTGAAAACGACATTCCCGCACGCTAATCGCGCCAAAATTCCCATGTCCCATAGAAGAACAAGAAAAAGGTTATGGCAACCGTTATTTATCACGCTCACTAAGGCGCAGTCACTCAATCGTTGTCGCAGGACTTTCTCGGCTCTTGGTCCCGAAAGCAAAGAAAGAAAGAAGCGAGGGTATCCATGCAACTTGTCCGGCCGACCTTATCTTCTACCTGACCAACCCGTTTCCAACCCCCGAGGCCGCTTCGCGCAGAAAGTCGTGCGATTGTAGAAAGTAGTTCGTCACATATGTGACGCCTAGGGGGTTCCAATCTTGAGCAAGCTCCTACTTGCTCTCTCATCAGGTGTCGACCCGTGCTCCGAGGATCGACGGGGAGCTTGCATGCGCCACTTACCGTAAGATCTTAGTGTGGAAGTCATCTAATGTGGCATTTGTGCACTCTATTCTAAACGTTACCCGGGAAAGGCAGTCTGATTACAGGCAGAGGAGGTGGTGGATGGACTTGGGGAAGGGGAGGCATGACGCGACGGATCTCTCGATCGTCAGTGGGGAGTTGGGTGTAATGAATTGTGCGGTGAATGCGGGGAAAACGTGGGTGTCGACGTTGGTGGGGGAGTGAGGCGAGGTAATCGGGATAGAGCGTGCAGAGGGTACGGTGGATAGCAACACGAAAATCGTCATACTCCTCGCATGCTGGGATCGTGCCCGCGATGATGCAATACAACTCTATACTATTGAATTTCTGTCAATCCATGAGCCTCAGGGGGAAAGAGGTAGTCAGCGAGAGAGTGGTAACGTGTGGGAAGATTATGATCAGGAGGCGAGTGGAGTAGAGATGGTGGAAGAGGGAAGGCGGGAAGGGGTGCCATCCGTCAGGGAATGGGGGTCGACCTACAAGCTGCTGAAAAGTGAGGAAGTCATGGGGACGACGGGATAACGACCGGGGACGAAGCTCGAGCGCCCTCATCTTGACGTAGGCGAAGGTTGGGCCGGAAAGAGGATTGGGCCGGAAAGAGGATTGGGCCGGGGATTCACTTTTTCGGCGACGCCGGCTTCCCGATTCCTCTGTCGTGGCGCCTCCATTTCTCTCGGCCTCTTCTTGTGGCAATTCCGGATTGAGCGCTGGATCGCCCTGTAGCAATTGAGGTAGTGACCCTCCTGATTCCTCGATCGACCGCTTGCTTTCTGTCGCTGCCCGTTTCCTCTATGCCACGGCCTCTCTCTCTTCCTTGCTTAGTTCATTGGGACCGCTCGACTCACCCGATCCGGCCTCTTCTTCCTTAGTCTCCTCCCGTTCCGAGCTAGCCTCTTCTGACTCGGTGTCCTCCGATTTGTGATAATCGGGATCTTCCGACTCAGCCTCCAATTCTTCCTCTTCCGGCGTTTCCTCTCCTTCCGTGTACTGAAGATGGTCGTCCTCCTCGTTCTCTTCCTCGGTTGCTTCCTCTTCCTCCTTTTCGGCTTCTTTGCTGGTCTCTCCTACGCTCACTCGTCGGATGAGAGGATCCCAGAAGGAGAGATCAGTGACGCCGATGACCAGATAAGCGCCCTCAAAGGGATAGTAGCAATGATCCACGTTGAGCTCCGTGCACGTTGACCACAAGAGATGGGAGGTCAAGGTACGGGCGAATGTGGCAGTTCCGGGCCTTTCGTCGCAGTGTGAGAGGATGTCCAAAGGTAGGTCGTCCAGCAGTTGGGACAAGAACACCAGCTCTTCGTCTGTGATCGAATCCAGGTGGTCGTCACTTACTTCCCCGAACAAGATCCCCAGAAGCTCACCCTCCGTGTCCGTCCTCCAGCCCTGGACAATCAATAACTCCGACTCGCCGTCTGGGATCTCGTCCTCCTCGCTCCTGTCAACAGGTTCCGCCCAATGGAAAACGGCTTCAAGGAGGCAGAAGTTGAACGCCATATAGGCATGCCACCACTGTGCCCACTTGCCTGCGTCCAGAATCGGCACGTCCAACTGGCTAATTCTGAACGATAGAGCGGGGTCCACAACATACTGCCAAAACGTAGGAATGTCGGAGGGAAGGCTGAAGGTAGAGAGGCGGTGGTGGTTCATTGAGGTCGGGCGAAAGGACGAAGCTCCGGGAGGACTACCTCGGGCGTTGTGGAGGAAACACGAAGCTGAAGATCGATGTCGTTGGCTGTTACGACATGATCGCTCGGCCGAGCCAGTAACCGCACCCACTCAGTCGTGAGGTGCGTTGCCCAGTCCCGCAGTTGTCGGAGGATCGCGGTGTGCCTTGCTGGATGTAGTGTCGTGATGTCGCCTGTAAAGACGACAATGATTGATACGTGGCTCTCGCCGGGTGGGGACAGGCGTAAGAAGGCTGACACCTCAGCAAATACTCGTGTCGCCCCGGACTGTGCGAATCGGAACTCAGCCGCCATGTGAATGGCCGCTGTACTGAAGAAGGTCGCGAATCAAAGAAGATCTGGACTCAATCGAGGATGATGTACTTACCGGATTGCAGAGATGGTTCCCCCGGGTACCATTAGCCGCTCGCTGATGACTTGTTCGGTGGAAAAGCTCATGGCGATGGCGAGGGAGACGAGGGCTAAGAAAAAGAAGGATCAAGGTAGTTAAGAGGATCGTCTTCTTCCTCACTGTCGGGGAACGACGTGGAGGATGGAACAGAAAGGGAGAGATGGGACAGGGCGAAGGTAGGACACGTGCTGAATGATCGGACGAGGCGATAGACTCCCTGACACCTCCGGTGCGAGTCGCACAGTGTTCACTCCATTAGGACCGAGTTCGACCACACGAAATCGCCCGAGGAATCGTGGCGCTAGCTTACTCTGTCGAGCACATTTCTTCACTTGCACTATGTCCCCTAACTTATACTGGGGCCGTGGTCCAGCGTTCCCATTTCGGGCCTCGTAGCTCCGAACCTGTCGTCCGTGGGCCATTTTAGTCATTCTTTGTCGTTTTCGGGCTAAGCCGGGGAAGTTTTTTTTCCATTAATTTTAGGTGGTGTTGGGCCTTGTCTTTGACCGTTGCTCTAGTGGTCCGTCGCGGAAGGGTCGTTTCATCATTTAGGCTTGGTACGGCTACACAGGCCACACTATTGGTTCGTAATTGGAAGGGGGACAGGCCGGTGGGCTCATGGGGTGTCCCTCAATGAATAGCTAGGATATGGTCGACGACATCGGGCCAAGGCCTTGTATCTTGGGCCGCGATGTTATGTCGTAACACTGCCTTGATCACCCGGTTGGCGTTTTCTACTAGTCTGTTTGATTGCGACATATGGGGAGCGGTATTGCGAATCGAGACACCGTGTAGGACCAGACTCCTCAAGACTTCCCCTCAGAATTATGCCCCGTTGTCCGTTAGGATTTCCTCGGTATCCTGATGCATCCCGAGAAACCGGTTGACATATTGCGCGATTTTTGCCGCTTGTCGCGTCTTACACGGATACGTCTCTATCCATTTCGAAAAGTGGTCTACAAATACCAAAAGAAGTGAATATTCACATCTATTTGGTCCAGGGGGCACAACAATATCTGTGGTATCCATGTTGACCCTTTGGAACGACCGTTCAACTACAGTGGGCACTATCGATCTAGGCGGTTGAATTGGCGCTTTGTCGGCGACACAGACGGGACAGTTTCGGATGATGAATTTAACGTCGTCGTGAATATTGGACCAGTACCATTCGTTTTTATCGATTGCTGGCTCTGTGATTCGGACGGCGAAGTGGGACGCCGTTTCCTCGTGGGCCGACTTGACCTAGTGATATCTCATGAACAGATGAGGCACAGACATCCAAATCCCACTACTATCCGTCTTCCGCTTTTCTAACCGTCCCTCACTCCATTGGTAGTCCAATGCCTTCTCATTGGCCCTCCTTCAGTCCTCCTTAGTGGAGTCTCGGAGGGAGTTCCCAACCACTGCAGCTATCAAGACGACGTTTGTCCACACTTCAAGTTCGGCCTTTCTAAATCATTGGGTCTTTTCCAGCCCTTCCGACGTAATTTCGAGAAATCGAGCTTCTGACGGAATTTTATCAGTGCGGCACAAGGGACATAACCAGGATTTATCTATATTTCTATACTGGATGCAAGAACCGTGGGCTCGGGAGAGACATTTCTGACAGTCTACCCACTTGACGTACCCCTCCCATCTAGGACGCGTAGGGACATAATAGACCCTCGAGATTGCTTCGCAAAATTAGCAAAATTTGTAGGGCAGGGAAAAGAAAGAGGAAGACGAGAGGGGAGAAGGAGGACCTTCAGGATTACCTCCATGGTCCATCGCCACCGTGTCTGCCGATCACTTCTTGGAGGTCCGAGGGAGGATGGCCACCTAGTTGTACGAGGGTTCACCGGTTGGTTCCGGTTCCTTCCACGGTGTGATCTCTTCACCCTTGGCCACCCTGCTAGGCCAATACAATCGTGTCAGTCTGTCAACGTTGTCGTGCTTCTTTGTCTTCCGGTGGACGATATCGAAATCGTATTCTTGCAGTCGTACAACCCATCGTCTGATCATGCCCGTGTAGTTGGTAAGCCTCTTGAGAGTCATCAAGGGCTCATGGTCCGTAACGAGGAGGAACTTCCGTCCGTACAAATACGGATGGAAGTGTTGAATCCCCCATACAACCGCGTAGCACTCTCCCTGAGGAGCCGAATCGTTTCTTCTTTCGTCCGGTACCGTTCGCGAAGCGTACTCGATGACGTGTTTGTGGTCGTCTTTCCCCTTCTGAGCCAAAATAGCAGAGATTGCTTCAGGCCGCCAGTCCGTAATGGGTATGAACTGATTTCCCGGTCAGGCCGAATCAAAATAGGTGTCATGGCCAAAACCTCCTTTAAGGTGACAAAGTCCCGTTCACACTCGGCGTCCTAACTCAACAGTTGGTCCTTCCGAAGAAGATTCGTTAGAGGTCGGGCGATTGCTGCAAAACCCTTGATAAATCGACGATAGCACGAGACCATTCCCAAAAAGGCCCGGACTTATGTCAATGTCGTCGGTGTAGGGGCGTCCCGAGCGGCGGCGACCTTTCTTGAATCCGGTCATAAGCCTCCCTGGGTCACCACGTACCCCAAGAACGAGATTTCTGAAAGGAAAAACTCACTTTTCTCCAACGCAATCTTGAAGCCAGCATCCTGTAACGCCCCAAGTGTCCATTCGACATGTTGTGCATGCCCGTGGAATGATTCCGAGTAGACCAGGATGTCGTCCATGTTCACAATGACGCAGAAATTAACCATGCCCTGAGTTAGCCTGGTCTTGTTGACGAAATTTTGAAATATGACGCTCATCGCTCTTTGAAAAGTAGCTGGCGCATTGCAAATTCCCATCGGACAACGGACCCACTGCCAGGTGCCCTCGAACAACCCAAAGGTTGTTTTCGGTCGACCCTCCTCCTTGGCCAGAATATGATGAAATCCATGACGAATATCAAACTTACTAAAATACTTAGCACACCCAATCGCATCCAACAGATCATCAATCCGGGGAAGGGGGTACACATCCTTAATTGTGATATCATTCAGCTTCCTGTAATCAATGCAAATGCAAATCGACCTATTTTTCTTCAGGACTAAGACCACAGGAAACGACCAGGGTCCGGTTGCCGGTTCGATCCATCCGTTAGCCTCAAATTCTCTGATTCTTTGCAATGCCACTTTTCCTTCCACGAGAGAATATTGGTATGGTTTACAGTGGATCGGCGGGTGCGTTCCGGTCTGAATTTTGTGTTGAATGACCAAGGACAGTCCGACACCCGTATCTGTCACACAGATCGCCCCTTGGTATTTGGTCAGAATATCCGCAATCAATCAATGAGTTTCATTGGGTACAAACTGAGGCACATGTAGCTCGTAGGGCTGTCCATGTATGGTAACCGTCACGTGCTTCGTGTCTACTCTGAGGCTGCTCTCCGCAGGGGGATCAGAAATCAAGCATTTGTCCGACCGCCAGGAAAACATGGTGGCGACCATTTGCGCATCCTCCTCTTCAATGGCCACGTGTTCTTCCAGGGTTACGCCATCGTTGATATCCTGCCAGCACACTAGTTTCTCGATGATTTTGATTCCGAGCTCATTGGGTGTAGAGTCATCGCATCCAGGGGGTTCCAAAGCTTCGCCTTCGGCCCCCTGCCATAGTAATCGCATCTCCTTTCCAGAAGACAGCAAGGAACGAGGTAGCCTTGAGATGTCACAAAAGGCTCCCTTGTCTCTATATCTCGAGAGAAGCGGGGCAGTGGCCTCGTATAGGGTCCGAGGGGCTTCCGAAGAGTTGAGAAATCCAAGATATTTGTACGAGTGGTTCCCCTAAGATTAACGCGCGCGTTCGTTGTAGATTTCTTTCTGTAGGGACGAACGTTTTCGTGGTCTTCTGTCGACGGGGTAACGAATCAACTGTTGAACCATCTCGTGTATCATAGGATCGGCTTCGTCTCCACTGTCAAAGTCACTTGTTAGTTTCAATTCCTTTCCTCTTTGATCTGATTCGTGGATTGGTTCTTTCCAGGTGATCACTCGGAGGGGTCCTTTGATTCCAGGCGGGGGTTTCTGAGTCGAGGACGGCGTGGTCCGAAGAGTCAGCCGCATTGGAACAACGTACGGTTTTTCGTCTGTGTTTCAAAGGATGACGAATCGCCTTTCGAAATCCAGATTGGCCCGCAATGTTGTGAGGGCTGGTAATCCCAGAAGGACATCATATTTATCGCTTTGATTTTCTCTACGTCCGTTGAGAAGAGATGATATCCTTCCACCAGGGTGATCAGATCCTCCCTTCTTCCTGCTCGTTCAACGACTCCCAATGAAATAGCCAGTACCGCGGCTCCCGAATTGATAACAACAATGTAGGGGGTTCCCCATACCTCAATATCACATTCCGCTGATTTCCACGGAATAGCTTTGATCCGCAAAAAATTATCATCCTCTTGGAGTATCCCTAACCGTGTTGGGTCCGAAGCACTAGGAACGTCCAGCCTGTCTTCGAGGGTCGGGGCTTTTCCTTTCTGAGCCACCGATTAGCCGAGAGCAAATCGTTTTTTGTTTGCTTTGCGATGTTGTAGCATGCGCTCATTGGCTTGCTTTGATATGAACACCAAGTGTCCAATAGGCAAAGGAATCCAGTGATCGAGAGCTCGGACGATGTCCAATACACCGATCTCTCCACTAACGAAGGTGGGA